AGAATTTATATATTTTCATATTATTTTAAATATATAAATAATTTATGTTAATGAATTTTTTTTTCTAAATAAATATAGGCAAAAAAAAAAGATAAATAAAAATTGCTTGAAAATTTCTTTGATTTTTAGGGAATTATTGTAAAAAAAAAGAAAACGTAATATAATTTTTAGAAGAATAAAAACCAAATTGTGTCTAATAATATAAGATTACGAGCTTATGTGATTTTGTCAAAATTGAAAAATTATTTTTCAATATCTTTCTATTTATAATTTTTATATTATTTTTCCTCGATTCCTTGTTGGAAAATTTATTTAATACAAAAAAAAAATGAATTAAATAAATGAAAAAAAAATATATTTCAAAAATGCCTATCGAAAAATAAATTAAAAAACAAAATACAAAATTAATTAATAAATTATAATAAATTATGATAGATTATAATAAATTATAATAAAGAATATTAAGAAAAATAATATAAAAAAAAAGATGGAATTTTCAAAAATTGAATTAGTTGAAAAAAATTTTTTCTCAATTTTGATAAAATTAGATTCGAAAACCAAGTTCAATGATATTTAAAAAAAATAAATAAATAAACTAATTGTAAATATATAATAATAGTGTAAAAAAAAAGAAAAAAAGATTTTAAATTTAAGCGTTAAATCGTCTTAATACGATTTTAATTATAAGTGTTCGTCTCTCACATCTGCACAAAGTTATGTAGTTTAGAAAAAAAAAAATTCAGCTACTAAGTAGTTAATTAAAAAAAAAAAAACTTTCAAATTTTTTTTTTTTGCGTGAAAAATAGAAAAACACAAAAAAAAACCAATTGGCTCAAATGTATAAGAAAAAGAAAATTTGTTCTGATTCTGCGATTCTAAAAAAAAAAAGAAAAAAAAAAACATAATCATTGAAACAGATCTCTCTCTTTGCATTTTATATTGGTATATCAAATAATATATTATATATAGAAATATTATTCACATGCGAAGAAAAAAACAAAACTAGTCAATATATTAATAAATGTATTTTTTTATTAAAAAAAAAAAAAAAGAAAAAAAAGGAAAGAAATAAAAAAGAAAATGAGAATTTTAAATGTGTACCAAATATCATCTGCTTTGATGGATTTTTTTTTTTTTTTTTGCTTTTTTGATATATTTAGCAAAACAGAAATTGTTAAAATAAAAAATGATTATTTGAAAATGAATTTTAATAAACTTAAAGTTTTAACTGAAAATTAATTTTCGATTCTCCTGTGTATGAGTAAAAAAAAATTTCAGATTCTCAAATTTTTTTGGTAAAAATTTACATTTTTTTTTTTTTTTTTAATTAAATATAGTGGACATTTTTTTTTTTTGGACTTTTAGATTTTCATTACAAAAGGAAATGAAAATGTAAGTATGGAAATTTTTTTTAAAATTAATTTTTCTGTTTTTTTTTTTGGTTTTAATTAATTTTAATTTCGAATATTAATATTTTATTATTACTTTCTAGTTAGTGATAAATTAATTACTAATTATTAACTAATTATAAGTTAGTTATTAATTACTAATTACTAATTAAAAATTAGTTACCAAAAACGATGACAAAACAATTTTTTTGAAAAGTTCTCAATTATTTTTTTTTTTGCAATTTTATATTTTTAATTATTGTATTCAATTTTATATTTTCGAAATATCAAAAAGGCGAAAAAATTTTCCAGTTGGAAAAATAAAAAATTATGATTTGAAAAATAATTTTTTTTTACTAATTTCGTAAAAGAGAAAATTATTTAATTGAATTCGAAAAATAGAAATTATATTTAAATTCGAGAAATAAAAAATTGAGATAAAAAATTCGAAAACTAAAAAATTATGTTTTAATTTCGAGAAATAAAAAATTGAGATAAAATTTGGAAAATAGAAAATTCTGATTGAATTCGAAAAATAAAAAATTATGTTTTAATTTCGAGAAATAAAAAATTGAGATAAAATTTGGAAAATAGAAAATTCTGATTGAATTCGAAAAATAAAAAAATTGTGTTTAAATTTGAAACAAAAAAATATTCGAAAAAATTAAATAAAAAAATAAAATTTTTAAATGAAAAATAGGAAGAGAAAGAGAAATAGAAACACAAAAATTACTATGACACAGAATTTTTATTGTTCTTCTATAAAGCATAATAAACGTACATATATGATCACTTTCACTTATAAAATATCAATAAGTCTGTTCATTATGTTTACGTTAATTCCTATAAACTATAATTATAATAATAATAATAATTATTATTATTCATTTTTATACAGGCTTGCATTCACTCTTTCTAAAACAATTTCTCACTTCTTAAATGCCTAATACCCAAATATACTTATCTAAAGTTACAATCTACTTACATTATTATTATTATTATTATTTTTATTATTATTATTATTATTATTATTATACCAAGTACAATTTAAAGTATAACAATTTTTTGTTTTTGTCTTTTGTTTATTATATATCATGAAAATTTGGGTACGTAATTTTTTTTTTATACTACTTTCCTCTGCATTGAAATTATCGAAAAAATTTGCTGGAATTTTCAAAATAAATTTTTTCATAGAAAAAAAATAATTCCAAAAATGGAACATTTTTTCTATTTATTATTTTTTTTGCAAATATATATATTTTAATTTTTGTCACAAAATAGAATTGAATGTTAACAATGAGAAAAAAAAAATTAAACAAAATAAAACAATTTTTTGAATTTGAATTTAAAAATTTTGATTTCTATTTTTCAAAAAAATTTTCGTTGCAAAAAAAGAATTGAATGTTAGCAATGAGAAAAAAGAAATTAAACAAAAAATAAAACAAATATTTTAAATTTAAACAATTCGGTTTCTATTTTTTTGAAAAATACATTAAAATTATTAAAATTTGCTAATATATTTAAATTTTCGCTCACAAAATAGATATAAAATTAATTTAAAATAGAAATTTCAATCTTTTTTTTTTTGCAGATAAAAATAATTTCTATAACAAAATAGAAAAAAAAAATAATTTCCAACAAAATAATCCGATAATTAAAAATTGAAATAATTTTCAATTAAAAGACGATTTCAGAAAAAAAAAGAAATGTAATGTTTAAAATCACCCTCGGATTATTTTTTTTTTTTTTTATCGACAATTATTATTTCAGGACAATAAGCAGCTTATTTAAAGACAACACATTTTTCACATTTTTTTTTGTTTTTTGTTTTTTTGTTTCTTCGGTGTAAACATCTAACACTTTTTACATTTCCAGTTATTATCACTATATACTCGACTTTTAATTATATCTTTCTTTTTTTTTTTTTTTTTTTTTTTTCTCAAAGGTTCTAAAATTGTACTTACTTTTTTTTTTGTTTTTATTGAAACATGATTAAAATAATATCACAAAAAAATTGAAATTAGCAAACAAGAATATTTGCTTATGTAAATTTTATTATAAATATTGCCTTTGGAACTACAACTAGTTAAAAAAAAATAGAAAAATAAAAACCAATATTTTTTTAGTTATAAAAAATAAATCGGGAATTTTCGGAAAAAAATCGAAAATTCAAATCTCGAATAAAAAAATTCTTAAAAAAATAGAAGAAAACAATTATTTTGTATTTATTAAAAAATAAATCACAAATTTTCGAAAAAAAAATCGAAAATTCGAATCTGGAATAAAAAAATTCTTTAAAAAAAATAGAAGAAAACAATTATTTTGTATTTATTAAAAAATAAATCACAAATTTTCGAAAACAAAATCGAAAATTCGAATCTGGAATAAAAAAAATTCTTAAAAAAAATAGAAGAAAACAATTATTTTGTATTTATTAAAAAATAAATCACAAATTTTCGAAAAAAAATCGAAAATTCGAATCTGGAATAAAAATATTAAATATTTTTTTTCTATAATTATAAATTAATTATTAATATTATTATTATTATTATTATTAAGTTAATTGAGGTCAATTAATTTACGAGATTTATTTCTTTTTCTTTTACGCTAAAATATAAATATTGAGCGTAATAAATAAATCACACTATTAATTACATAATTAATTAATTAATATTGCCACCGTGTGATTGACTAAAACAGCGATTAGGCAATTTTAGAACCTCACTTTTGATTTTTATTTACTATTATTTACTAATAATGTATATAAAAAAGTTTTTTTTTGTGCTTTGTAAAAAAATAACAAACAAAAATTGGAAGAACTTTGCAAAAAAGACTTTTTCTCGTAATGAGAATTTCTTTTTTTTTCTTTTTTTGCTTTTTTCCTTTCAAGCATAATTTATCTTATTACAAATTCTATATCGTTTCATCTATTAGGTTATTTTGTTTTTTTTTTCAAAGTGATTTTTCCTTTCGAAAACCACATTTTATCGCAAAGTTTTTTTCTTTAAAAATCGTTTTTTTTTTATATATAAATGTCGATTTTCTAAAAATAAATTGTGTATATTATAAAAATGCACGCTTTTATTATTATTATTTTTTTTTTTTAATGAAAAAATTCGGTGTTTTTTTTTTAAATAGAAAAAAAGCACCGTTTTGCCAGAAGGAAAAAAAATCCAATCGAATTTAAAAAAAAACGAAAAAAATTAGTAAACTTTGCATTTCTGGCAAAAAAAAATTTAAATTATTTTAAAATTAAATTTTTCCAATGAAAAGAAACAAATTTCCGAATTTTTTCTCAATTGTTTCTTTTTTCTAATAAGTTAAAATAAAAAAAAAAAAATTTAAATTAACATAAAATATTCTGTAATTAAAAAAATCACACTAAATAATTCTCTAAATTTGTTTCTAAAAGAATAAAAAAAGTAAATAAATTTACTGATTTAAAAATAGAAAAATAAAATAGGCCAACGTTTTTTTTTTTTTTTTTTTATAATCTAGAGAAACTTCGAAACAAATATTGAAATCTGTTTTTATTATCAAAAAACCTGTTTAAAAAAAGGGGGTAGAAAAATTTTTATTTGTTTCGAAGTTTTTTTCGCGACTTTTTTTGGGACAAATAAAATTTAATTGACAATAATTACAAATAGTAAATGTAAATAAAATGTTTCTAAATAGAACAAAAAAATTTAATAGTAAAAATTAAAAAAAAAATTATTGTTTTGTAATAATTATTATAATCTATTATTCTTGAATTTAGTGACCGTTCAAATTTTAATAGTAAATAATTTAAAAAGTCTATTTTAAAATCTATTTCAATCGAAAAGTCTTTTTAAATTATTTATTTTGATAGAATTAATTTTCTAATAATTATTCAGAATTATAATTAATTTTCTAATAATTTATTAGAATTTCAATTAATTTCGTAATAATTATTTAGAATTAAAATTAATTTTGCAGTAATTATTAGAATTATTATAAATTTAATTTTCAATAAAAATAAAAGAAAATTGTTTATACCTTTTATCCCAAAAAAAAAGAGCCGCGGAAAATGAAAAAAATATATGACCACTCTCTTTCTGTGAGTTTCTAAAAAAATTTTTTCTCTTCTTTTTTTCCTTTTGGAGGAGAAAAAGAAAAAGGAAAAAAAATTTCTTTTAGAAGAGAAAGAGAGTGGTCTGCCTTGCTTGCTACTTGGTTGCCTCAGGTGGACAATCGGGCTGATTATTGGGATGTGCAGCAGTGAATGCTGGATGATTTTCCAAATGGCGATCGACGCGTAAAATTGTTGGAAATGGTCTTAAATCAACGTGAAACCTTCTTGCGTTAAATATTTGTGGCACCAAACAACAATCGGCTAATGTTATTTCATCGCCAACACAATATTTCCCTGCGCTTGATGACAATAATTTTTCCACAGCTAAAAAAAGGGAAAAAGAAGAAAAAATAAATTATTTTTTTTTTCAAATTTAATTAAATCATTTTATAAAATTTAATTATTTAATTTTTTTAGAAAGGGAAAAATTTTAGACATTCAAAAATAGAGAATAGAGAAAAAAAAAGAAACCTGTAAATCCTCTAGTGATCCAATGTTGTGCCCATTCTTTTTTACGTTCCTCTCCAACGTAAATAAGAACAACTAAATTTTGAAGTGGTTGAATTCCACTTGCAATTACTTCGCAAATTTCTCTAACTCGCGCTCTTTTAACTGGATCCGCTGGCATCAATGGACGATGAGGTCTTGTTTCTTCCAAATATTGCAAAATATTCAGCTAAAAAGAAACAAAAAAAAATAATGAAAAAACGAGAATATAATAAATAAATTTATTTTCAATAAAAAAAAAAAGCAAATTTAAAATTAATTTTGTTTTTTTATTCAAAAACGAAAAGTAAATTTCTTTTTTTACTAATCTAAAACGAAAAAAGTAAATTTAATTTAATAAATAAGCAAATGTAAAATTAAATTTTGTTTTTTCGTTTTGGATTAGGAAAAAAGTAAATTTAATTTAATAAATAAGCAAATGTAAAATTAAATTTTGTTTTTTTTTTTATTCAAAAATAAAGAAACAAAAGGAAAACAATAAATGTAAATTTACAAAAAAAAATAAATAAATTCTTTTTTTAAAAATAAGTTTTTAAAAAATTAAATACCTAAATTAAAAAAAAAAAAAAAATTGTGACAAACTTACAGATTCAATTAATGTATGATTGTCGATGTGAAGGGCAGGCACCTGTTCCATAGGATTTATTTCTCGAAATTCGTTGCTATGTTGTTCACCACCACTTTTCACTAAACTTATCGGTTTTATATCGTACGGTATTTCCTTTAAATTCAAAGCTGCGGAAAAAAAAATTAATTAATTTCTCAAAAAAAAAATTTGTTTTGATTATTGAAAAAGAAAGAAACAAAATTAAATATTTTTTTTTTAATTCAATTTTTAATTTTTTAATTTATATATAAATATGTATTTAATTTTCAATTTTTATAAATTTTTAATCTTTTTTATTTAATAAATTCGGAAATATTAAAAAAATATTCAATTTGTTATTTAAAAAACAAATTAATTAAACAATTAATCAAACCAATAATTAATTAATCAATTAATAAAACAAAAACGAAATTAATAAATTATTAAATAAATTGATAACCAAATAAATTAATAAATAAATTAATAACCAAATAAATTAATAATTAAATTAAAAACCAAATAAATTAATTAAACAATTTATGAATCAAATAATCAATTAATCAATTAACAAAACAAAATTAATAACTTATTAAATAAATTGATAACCAAATAAATTAATAAATAAATTAATTAAACCATTAATCAACCAATAAATTAATTAAACGATTTATGAAACAAATAATTAATTAATCAATTAACAAAACAAAATTAATAAATTATTAAATAAATTGATAACCAAATAAAGAAATTAATAACCAAATAAATTAATAAATTATTAAATAAATTGATAAACAAAGAAATTAATAAATAAATTAATAACCAAATAAATTAATAATTAAATTAAAAACCAAATAAACTAATTAAACAATTTATGAATCAAATAATTAATTAATCAATTAATAAAACAAAATTAATAAATTATTAAATAAATTGATAACCAAATAAATTAATAAATAAATTAATAATAACCAAATAAATTGATAAATAAATTAATTAAACAATTTATGAAAGAAATACCTAATTAATGAATCAATTAACAAAACAAAAGTAATAAATTATTAAATAAATTGATAATCAAATAAATTAATAAATAAATTATTAAATGAATTAATTAAGTTACTGAATAAATTAAAAAATTAACAAAAAAACTTATATTAATTAAAAATCGAAATTGCAAAAATCCAAATTTGATAATTATTGTAAAATAAAAATTACAATTTGAAAAAATTGAATTTATCGTATAATAATAAAAAAAAAATAAATAACGAGAGTATTTATTGATTTTTAATTGAAGATAATTACCAATTCGCACCCTCCACGAACAGGAACTACGCCAATAGGAGTAAAGAACCGGCTGATACATAAATATAGTAATTGTTTAATTTTTATTTCAAATTTTATAATAAAATATACGGGATTAGTTAATCAAAAAAAAAAAAAAAAAAAAAAACAACAGTTTTCTAAATATAAATAAACAGGTTTATGTTAATATATCAATGAAGAAACAAGGAAAACCTTGAATTTCAATAAAAAATACACTTTCTTGTTTTTTCTAGATTTGAAAAAAATATTTTTAATTTTTTAAAAAACAAATTTTTATCCAATTTTATAAAAAGAAATAAATAGAATACTTCCGGTAGAAAACGAAATTTAAAAAAAAATAAATTTACTCCTTTTGCTTCCTCGTGGAGGAAGCTATGTAGTCCTTTCGTTTATAAACTTTTTAAAAATGGTGAAAACAAATTTTCCTCTATATAGAAACATGTTATATGAGATCCTGATCAATTGTCCGGATGTATGTATGTGTGTGTGTATGTGTGTGTGTGTGTGTGTGTGTGTATGTGTGTGTGGATCGTTTTTGTGAACACGATATCTTTAACAGGTTTTAATGGATTTGGATAAAATTTGGTAGGCTTATTTAACACATTAATCTCTCAAAAATGACGAGAGGATTTTTAAAAATACCCAAAAAAAAAAATTTTATCGTCTTTTTTCTAAAAAATTTTTTTTAATTGAAAAAATTTTTAAATCGAAAAATTTAAGGTAATATATAATATAATCGTCTTCTTTATGTCAAGATGAATCGATTGATATATATAAAGTATAGATTTGATTGAAATTTAAAGAATTAAAGAAAGTTAAAAAATCAAAAATTCTCATTTTAGCTAAAAAATGATGTGTTTATTTAAATTCATGTTTATATATGAAATAATTTTATTCCCTGCATTGAAACGAATTGGTTAGTATATATAAAGTATAGATTTGATTTAAAATTTGAGAATTAATAAAAATTGAAAAATCGAAAATTCATATTTTAGCTAAAAAATTTTGTGTTTTTTTTTAATTCAAGTTGATGAATAAAATAATTGTATTCCTTGCATTAAAACGAATCGATTCGTATATATAAAGTTTATGTTACACTCAAAATTAATTAAAATTTTCTTTATTTTTCAAAAAATTTAATTAATTTAAAACATTTTTAATTCGAAAGTTTTTAAATCAATCAATTGAATTGGACAAATTCATTGATTCCTTCACGAGGAAGCGAATTTTTTGCTTCACACAATGAGGAAGCATAATGTTTATGAAATAAACATAAAGGACCCCCTACTTGTTTTCTACGTAACTACTAAAAATGAAGAATATAAAAAAACAATTCTCATTATTTATATTTATGGCGACTTTGATAAAAATTTCGAAATAAAAATGTTTTCCAATTATAATTACGAAAGAATATTTTTATCATTTTAATTAATTATTGATTATTACTATGGGGTGGGGGGGGGGAAATAATAAGGGAACTCTTATTTTAATTGCTGTTTACCGCTGAAAAATAAGAAAACCCACCCCACCTGTTAAAAAAAAATCGGCGATTGTTTAATTTTAAAGGTTATGTTCCACCCCATGAAAAACTTATTTCGTATATATTCGAAAAAACAATACATTTTAATATAAAAAATTATACAAATTTTCCCAGAGTGGAGAAAAAATAAAAATATGTCAATAAATTAAAAGATTATAGAAACCCTAAAAACTCTATACAATTTCATATTATAATGAGTTTATGTCTCTCGCGAAAAAAAACAGGTTTATGTATGTATTACATATATATGTGTGTGTCGGCGCCGAGAAAACCGGAATTTTTTTTAGATTCCAATTTTATATCCAATATTTGAATTAAAATATAAAATATAACAAAATTATCAAAATATATACTTTTTTCAAGATTCATTTATATAGAAAAATATTACATAAAATCAACGAGGGGATTGTTTGGATAAAATAGAAATTGACCGCGACTGGTGAAAATGTCTTATATTGCGGAATGTATATTATATATATATATATATATATTTGTGATAAAAAAAAAATTTAGGCTTACCTTTCCCATGACGGACATTTTATTTTTTATTTATTTAAACCAATTGTCGGACGGAAAACTTTTCACTATAGCTCAACAAAATTTTCTCACAATTTTATAAAAAAATGAAACGGAGACGAGAAAATTGTCGCGACAATAATTTGAGAATCCGGTCAACGCGCGAAATCGCACCTCCCTTCCCCCTTTTATTCGATTGCCGGATCCCCTCCTTTCGTTGTACCCACACACACAAACAGCTCTTTTCTCAATTCCACCCCCTCATGGGAGATGAATAGTGTGTACGGCCCTGCCAACCTCAACTCAATAAAATTCCCTGATATAATATATATTTTGCAAATTTGCAAATTTTTTTACCCCATATTTCTTTTCATATCAAATTAAACTGATGTCAATAATGGTTTTTTTGCGAAAAAAAAATAGTTTACACACTTTTTTTTTTTTTAATTGAAAATGATTTTATAATAATCTCTACGTTTTTTTTTTCTATAAATATTGAATAAAATTAATTATAATTGATTGGGGAAAAAATTCAATATAAAAATATTATGGATTCTGATATAATATTAATATGAAAATTAAGATTTTACATATTATTTGATTTGAAAATTAAAACGGTGAATTAGTAAGAATTTTAATAATATGGGAGAAATAAAGAGAGAGAGAGAGATATTAATTATTATTAATTATTTTCTTTCTACAATTATTGTTAATTTTTCGCGAATATATAGTTTTATTAGGTTGGCAACATCGTTTTAGTTACAAGCGACCAATCACGAGCCAGCACTTTTTTTTCCACAGAAAAACAGGGGCGTACTGTTGAAAATTTTTCACCATTCGCAAATAGAAAAATTAATATTTAATGAAATCTTAGATATTTAATGTTAAATTTTTTTTTTTAATATTTGGTAGAATTAATATAAAATTATTATTATTATTATTCCATTTATTTACTATTATTATTATTCAATTTTAGAAAAAAGCGCGAAATTTAAAATTTTAAGATTGCAATGTAAAAAATCTTATTACTTGAAATAAAATAATAAATTTAAAAAAAAATTAAAATAATAAATTAATATAAAATTTCTATTTCTTTATTTGAAAAATAGAATAAATTAAACAATTATTGTTTAAGTGAATTTAAATTAATGAATTGCTTTGAATTAATCTCAGGGTAAATCTTCATACAGTCCTGATATGGATATTTTGACCAATGAGAAAGAGAGTTTGTCTTTGTTTATAAGCTTCTTAATAAAAAAAAGTCGTCTGCTGTTAGCCTGCTTTCGAAATAAAAAGCATATATAATTATAATTTATTTTTAATTATTAGGAAAATAATTACCGAGATAAAAGATTGTGATTTGTTTTAATATAAACGGTTTAACGAAACAAGACTGTCAGGTAAATATTTATTAACAAATTATTACAATAACGATATATATTCTTTTGAGGTTATGTTTATATTTTAATCCCATGTAAATTTACTTATTTCTTTTTATTCATCTAAAATAATTAATTGCAAATGTTTTTTTTTCACGAAACTATTCAAAATACCACGAATTTCGAAAAATAGAATTTTAGGTTAGGTTTTGAATTTGTTAACGTTGCATTTTTTTTGGACAAAAATCAATACATATTTGAAGTTTATTAATAATAATAATATACTTTTAATTAATTATAAAATTATATTTTTGCACTATATAATAAGAATTTTAATAAAAAAAATTTGTAAAAAAAAAGATCATTAACCTTAAAATTTAAATATAGAAGAAATTAAAAATGGAATGAAAAATTTTGAAAAATAAATACAAATTTTTTTCTTTTCGGTAATAATATAAAAAAAAAAAGTTAGAGGAAAAAAAACATTAGTAAATTAGAGTTTTTTTTCTCATTCACAGAATGTTAGGTATGAATTGGTTGAAACGTAAACTTAAAAAAAATATGACTCCACTTCAACGTCCATATGCAGCAAAAATGTCTCGACGATTATCTTTTATTTATGCATTTTTGGGATGGAATTTTGTAGCTGTTTTAATCTACATGACATTTAAATCACATATACCAGAGGGTCCTGGAAAAAGTAAACAAATACTATTTTTTTTTTTTTGTTTTTATTTAAAAAAAATATTCGCTCAATTTTGGGCAGAAAATTTTCTATTTTTTTTTCTTGCAAATATTCTATTATTTTATTAGAAATTAATTTTTTTTTTGAGGAATTTTCAATTTTCGAATGAAAAATTTTAACACAATTTTCTTTTTTATACGAAATTTTTTAACTAACAAATTTTTGCCAGAATTTTTATTTTTGATTTATTTTTTAGTTATTTATTTTTTTTATTACTTTTTATTTAAAAGAATTTTAATTTAGACGAATTTTAATTTAATAGAATTTTACGTGATTCGAATTTTTATATGACAGAAATTCCAATTTCTCTGAATTTCAAATTTTCATTTGTCCGAAATTATAAATGGCCGAACAAAAAATCAACAGACAAAATTGCTTCGAAATCTTTCTGTCGATTTTTTTGTTCCTATTTTGTAATTTCGGACAAATGAAAATTCGACATTGAAAAAATTTGTACAAATAAAAATACGGCCAAACAAAAATTCGGTAGTTAAAATTCTTTTTTTTTTTGTAAAAATTCGTATATATATAGAAAATCTATTACATTTTAATTCGAAAATTTGTAAAATTCTGCTAAAAAATAATTATTTCCAATAAAATAATTTAAAATAAAAATTCTAATTAAAAGAATTTTTATAAAAAATTCTATTATAAATATAAATTAAATTAATATTATAAAAAAATTGTTTCATGTCCTTTCAGCACAAAGATATCTTGAAATAATGAATATCTCAAAAGCGGAAGTTATTCAATTATCAGGATTAAAAAAAATCTCAGAATATCAAGTTGATAGAACAGAAGAATATTTAAAAAGTAAAGAAGGTACTGGCGATATAGAGGTTATGATTGATTAATTTTAAATTAAAAAAGAGAAAAATAATTTTCTTTTTCTTTTTTAATCGTTCCTTACAATTCTTGTACATAATTATTATTAATAGCTAATAGAAATTAATTAATAAACTATTTTACAAAAACAAAAAAAAAATCCCTTTTTTACACACTGAGTTTCTTGTGTTCATTGATCATAAAAAAATCGCTCACACATGCACACTAAAAAAAAAAAATTTGTCAATTTAGAAAAATATTTGTCAAATAACTTTGTTTCTTAAAATTATTTTTTCTTTCCCTGTCTAAAAAAAAAACCTAGTGAATATTTAACGAAATATTTCTATATATAAATATCAAAAACTATTTTTTAATCCAATTATTAAGTTAACAATAATTAACATTCAATTATTTTACATTGTAAATTAATTAAAATTTATATTGCAAGTAATTTTAATTAAAATTAATTTTTTACTGCAATTTTAATTAATTTAGTTAATTTATATTTTCTTTTCGCTTTTTAAGAGAGGCACTTTTGTCAGTCGATGATTTTGAATTTTTTTTTTTTTTTACCAGAAATCAAGGTAGAGATCGACGTAAAGCAATTGCCCCGGCGTTCGCATCATTTGATTCAGGATGCAATTCTTTTAATCTCTCTTCCATTTCACACAAAAGTGCAGATCTAAAAAGAAAAGAAAAAGGCAAAAATTATTATCAGTTGCAAATTTATTTATTACACTTTCAATTGACTGCGTATTTAATTATAAAGAAGAAAAAAAAGGATTAATTTACACTATTAATTAATTAGTAAATAAAAAATTTAATTATAAATACAATTAGAAATTTATTTTTACTAATGATAAAAAATAATTTATTTCCAATTTTTCAAAATTATAAATAATTTTTTTGTTTTTTGTAAATAATAATTATAATTACATATAATAATCGTGAATATCTTTCGTTCATTCTGTCCATACCTGAAGTTAGTATTTGTTATAGGTCTTTTGTTTTTTTTAAATGTATTGTTTGACATTATTTTGTGTTGGTTAAAATTTTTCAATGTTTTTTTGGCATTGTTTCGATAATTAATTTTGAATCGAAATTTTAAAAAATAATTGAATTTTATTTTATTTTAAATTGAAAACTTGGTAAATAATTGAATTTTAAATTGAAAATTTGAAAATAATTTAATTTTAGTTGATTGTTGATTGAAAATTTGAAAAGTAATTAATTTTAGTTGATTGCTGATTGAAAATTTTGATAATAATTAATTTTGACTCGAAATTTTGGAAAATAATAAAATTTTAATTGAAATTTTGGATAACAATTTAATTTAAGTTCATTTTTAATTGAAAATTTCGATAATTAATTTTAAATAGAAATTTTAAAAAATAATTGAATTTTATTTTATTTTAAATTGAAAACTTGGTAAATAATTGAATTTTAAATTGAAAATTTTGAAAATAATTTAATTTTAGTTGATTGTTGATTGAAAATTTTAAAAAAATTAATTTTAGTTGATTGCTGATTGAAAATTTTGATAATAATTAATTTTGACTCGAAATTTTGGAAAATAATGAAATTTTAATTGAAATTTTGGATAATAATTTAATTTAAGTTGATTTTGGATTAAAATTTCGGGTAATAATTGAATTTTAATTGAAATTTTCGATAATAATTTAATTTAAGTTCATTTTTAATTGAAAATTTCGATAATTAATTATGAATAAAAATTTTAAAAAATAATTGAATTTTATTTCATTTTAAATTGAAAACTTGGTAAATAATTGAATTTTAAATTGAAAATTTTGAAAATAATTTAATCTTAGTTGATTGAAAATTTTAAAAAAATTAATTTTAGTTGATTGCTGATTGAAAATTTTGATAATAATTAATTTTGACTCGAAATTTTGGAAAATAATGAAATTTTAATTGAAATTTTGGATAATAATTTAATTTAAGTTGATTTTGGATTAAAATTTCGGGTAATATTTGAATTTTATTTAATTTTAAATTGAAAACTTGGTAAATAATTGAATTTTAAATTGAAAATTTGAAAAATAATTCAATTTTATATATAATTTAATAACATATAATAATAATTTTCATTATTATCATTTAATATATGAAATAATATTCTAATAAATTTAAATTATTATTGATAATATTAATCTTTAATTTCTTTATAACAAACAATTAAATACTCAATTTGGCGGGCTTTCGCGCATTTAATATTGCTAGTAATTATATTATAAATAATAATTTTTTTTTTATTATTTTGAATATAAAATATACCTGTATTCCTCGTATCGCATGACAACTTCCTCGAGTTCCTCTTTATAGAGTCGTGTGAGCATTGCATTGAAACAATCGAGTTCAGGTAAACGAAATAATTCCCAACGAAGTTTTCTATCGAGTGCAATTGAAGCGCGACTATAAACACGTAGCCATGTGGGAATTTCTTCATGTAAATAAGGATTTGCTGGTACTAAAACACTATGCGAATGAAAATGTGTGTGTCGCGGTGGTGAAACAACACGAATTGCTTGCATATCCAATGGATAACATGGATGTTCATATTGAGCTTGCCTCGTGATATGACTATTTGAGAAAATAAAAAAATTTTATTATTTTTTCCTTACAAGAAATATTTAAAAAAAAAAAAATAATTTATATAATTAACAAAAATAAATATAATTTTCCTCTCAAGAAAAATTTTTACATAAATTTTTAGAAAAAATAATTTTTTTCATTTAATTAATTTATTTAATATTAAATTTATTTTCTAGTTAATTTACGAAATTCATTTAATTTAATTATTTTTTGTAAAAATTAAGAATAATTTTTAAATACTCACTTTACGTAATAAACTCCATATTCAGGCGATTCAATTCTCTCCCAACCAGTTGGTAATCCTTCTTTCTCCAAAGGATGAGACCAATGTGTTGTTTTTGTATTGTGATCAATATAATATTTTCTACCGCGAAGAGTAAAATCCACTGACCATCCCGGTGGCAATGGAAGTTCTTCCGTTTGTTCATTTCTTGAACTCGATCTCTCCGAGTGTGCTCTACTATAGCTGTAGGTAAAAAATTATTTAAATTAATTAATATTATTCGCCTTTTATTAAGACACTATAAAAAATAAAATAAATTATTTATTATTTATTATTTAAATAAAAAATAATAATAATAATAGTGAATGAATAAATAATTTATAGGAAAATATGATTGTAATAAAAGAAGAAAAAAATACAAACCCAGTATTGTGACGATAGGGCAATTGATTAAAATCTTCGTAACCTGCGTCAATTTCAACAGGAAGATGAGGCAATTGGGGCGTTTGAATACGGTCCAAATGGTACTCGGAACCGGCGTATTGATTGACATAGGTGTGAGAAATTGCCGGCGATAATCCAGGATTATATAAAGGTGTCGCAGCTCTTAGTGACATTCCATCACTCGATCCTGAATGAACTGAGAGACTCGCGAATCTATCAATCAAAAAGAAAAAAAGAGAATATAATAAATTAATTACAAGAAAAATTACAAAAAAAAAAAATTTTTGATTTAAATCTCATGATTTTTAATTAGAGAAAAAAAAACAATAATTCATATGGACTGCGAGATAAAATAAATAAATAATATTAATAAATAAAAATAATAAACTAATAACAAATACACAATGAAGAAAATAAAAATTTTATCTGCATCTGGAATTTCGACAAAATAATAAATAAATAATTAATATTATAAAATTATTAACATTCTTTTTTTTGCAAATAAATAAAACAAAAGAAAAAATTAAATAAAGAAGATAAATATTATAAACAATTTAAAATTAAATGGAAAATAAATTTGGAAAACAAAAAAAAATAATTTTTCACTATGAAAAATTGGAAGAAAAATAATTTTTTTTTTTAGACCTTTGTGCTAAATCAGGAACAGAACTATTTGGAGTATATTTTCCCTCATGACTTCCTAAACCCACAGCGCTCATTGTTGTTTTTGTATTGCCAAATTTTTGCACCATACTCGGTTGCTGTGACATTGTCTGTAAAATAAAATTAATAATAATAATAATAAAATAGTAAAAAAAAAAAGAAAATTAATTCTTACAAAATTTCCAATAAAATAAAACTAACATAAAAAATAATTTTTTTTTCATTTAAATATTAATAATAATAATAATAATAATAATAATAATAATAATAATAATAATAATAATAATAGGTAATAATAATAATTATAATAATAATAATAATAATAATAATAAAAATAATAAAAAATAGAAATAAATATGAAACTTATTACAATATCAATAAATAAAAATCTAAATATAAAAAAAATATTTTAAAAAAATTTCTAACTAAATAAAAATAACATAAAAAAATATTTTTTTTCCCCTTTTAAATTATTAATTTCTATTTACCATTGAAGCTGAAAGTGTTCGCTGATTATTTTGCCTTCTCGTTCTTCTATTTGGTTCCGTTGTCCAAACATTAATAACTACAAAAGGTAAAAAGAAAAAAAAATTAAATTTCCCCCTTCAATTTAATTTCAAATAAAATATTTCTTTTTTTTTTCTCGTCAATTTTCATTTTATTTTTTTTAAATTTTTTCTATCAACAAATAATTGCTGAAATAAAATTGACTAAATATGAAAAATAATTTTTATAAAACAAAACTCTAGTTATAAATTAACTATAAATAAAATATAAATAAAATATAAATAAAATATAAATAAAATACAAACAAAAATATAAATAAAATACAAACAAAAAAATGAATAAAATACAAATAAAAAAATAAATAAAATAGAAATTATAATAAAAATAAAATAGAAATAAAATATTCCCGAAAAATAACATAAACAAATTAATTTTCAATAATTAACAAAAAAAAATTGAAATAATTACTATTTCATTCTATTTAAAATTATAAAATTATCAATAAAATTTTGGTCAATATGAATAATAATAATAATAATAATAAATTCCTAATAAAATTGAATTTTTTTTTTAAAATCAATAATTTTACCAAAGACAAAAAAAAACACAAATTTCTTAAATAATCGCAAAATAGAAGGAAAACAAATTATCAAACAATTAAAGAGAAAAGTACACAAATATTGCATAATCAATCCAAATCATAATTGATAATAAAAATGAAATGATAAAAATTCATATTTTCCATTATATACTCACTTGGCATTTCAGGTGGAGTTTCTTTCTTGACATATTTACCCACAACACCTTCTTTAATTGTTCTCAAATCTTTATTTTTACGTGACAACATTTTCTCTATATTCCAGAACAATCAATTTTTATTAAAAAAAAAAAAAAAAACAACAACTCTGCATAAAAATAATCACAAAAAATTATTGTAAAATTTTATCGATTTTTGAAAATAATGTTCACTTTTATATTTTTCGTCGTATGAAAATACTAACAAAAATTGGCAATTTCTCTGCATTGTTGTGAATTAATTTCAAGTTTTTGTTGTATATTCTAAAAAAAAAAATGCGCCTAATAAAAAAAAAAATAAATTATTATTATTTACTATATAGATCTTTTTCACTTTGACAAGTGTGTGAGGTTATATCTGCTTGGGAAAAACTCGTTTGCCCTCTGGCGGGAGTTTCTCGAACTTTGTAAACAATTTGTCAAAATAAAAATTTTTCACTATTTTAAATTTATTACAGATTTTGCTAAACATAAATTAAATGTTAAATTTGAAATAAATATTATCATAAAAAGTGTCTAGAAAAAGGAATTTTTAAAAATTTATTTGATTTTTCAAATAGAAATTTTTAGCTGCCATTTTTGTTCGAAATAAATTGGCGAACCTGCAGCCAATAAGATTTCACTATTTGAATATTTATTTAAATTCACTTTAAATTATTTATTATTTAAATACATTATTATTATTATTAATATTATTATTATGAATATTATTATTATTAATATTATTAATAAATTATTATTAATTAAATAAATTTTATTTATTTAAATGAAAATACAATTTTTTTTCAAATAGAATTCATTTAATAGAAATAAGGAAAATAAATAAACAGAAAAATTTTTTTAACTATTTATTATTATTAATTTCAAAATTTATATATTTAATAAATAGATTTTTATTTTTTTATAAAAATTGGATAAAATATTCAAATTTGCCGCGTCAGTTGGTACACCTGCTGTGTATGGAATACTTCGTGTGTCTTCGGAACAAACGAGACTACGCACATATTAGACATTACTATTTTCAGGCACAAGCCTAGCACCTCCTGACGGATTTTCGATTAAGTGAATGGGTGAAGGGGGCGACTGAACGACGAGGCCGACGGTACGCGAAACGGACCCGTTTTTTTATAAATCAATTCACGCGAGTGGCAAAAAAAAAAATTCTCATTTTTGTGTGACCGAGGTCAGTGCCTGTCTATTTGGTGCCGGTAAATTTTTGATCCCCCCCCCCCCTCTCTCTCTTTCTCGCGCGACAAGGACGTTGAAAACGCGACTGGTGACCCGCTATGGTGCGCGTCTCAACTCCCTGAGAAAAGTGTCGTTTTTGTATATATATACATATACATATATATATATAATTCTCATCAAAAGGTTGGCCTCAAAAAAAAAAAAGGAAAATAATGAAACGACCCTTTCAACAATTGACGGCGATGGAACGCTATTTTTGCGATCCTCGTCTTTAGATATATTTTTTTGTTTCTTTTGTTTTTGTTTTATTTTGTAAAAAGAAAAAAAAAAAAAAAAGAAGAGTGATTGAAGAAGAAAAATTGTGCGGTGTGAAGTGCTCGGCAGAAAGTTCAATGGTGCTCGATGATGACGGCGACGACGTGAATCAAAACTCTTGGTCTTTTCTCGTTTAGGATTTCGCGCCCAGGAAAAGTAATATATAAAAATTAAATAAGTGTCATTTTTAATCCGGCCTCTTCTCTTAAAAAGAAAAAAAGAACAATTCCTCTTAAAAAAAAAATTGTAAAATTTTCCCGTGAATTTCATTTACTAAAAATTTATACCGGAAGTTGAATTAATTTTTGAAAGAAAAAAATTTTTTTTTTTTATTACATAATAGTCGCGAATTTAAGTACAACGGTGATGAAATAAAGTGTGTTGTCTTGTCTACCTCGTGTGTTTGCTGAAAGGAAGAAAAGTCGGTGGTGGTGGTTGGACGAATTGGACACCGCGGTTACGATTGATTGGCTTTTCTGGACGGATATTTTCATCTTGATTTTATTTTAGTCGGTGATTGATTTTTTATTTTTTTTGATGTGAATTTTTTTTTTTCCAATTGTGAGAATGTTTTTGTAGAAAAACATATATACACATATATAAAGAAAAATTTAGAAAAAGGCGTCGCAACGTATATATGACGGGGCGTGCGTGCGTGCGTGTATGACAACGCCTTTCTTCGGAGCCTCGAATTTTGGGACGGATTTAGCCCACACGACGGCGAGGAGGTCGTCTGCAGTGATGATGATAATAATGATTTGACCCGGGTTTGTTTAAAAAAAAAAAGATTGAAAAAAGAAAGGGGGTGAAAAAAAAATTTGTTAAACCACGAGGTTATAATATTTAGGTGTTGTTCGATTCAATCGTGTGTGTAAAGTGGTCGCCAGAGTAAAAAAGTGAGGTTAAGGTACAACACACACACACAAACACACACGGGGGAATATTTTTGAAACGCAAGGAAAAATAAAAAAAAAGTGAGATTATAATTTTTTTTTAATCCCCCCCACCATCAGTGTTATGTGAATTGATTTTATTATTTCAAGTCTTTTTTTGGGTTTCTTTTTTTTCTTCTCGACAAAAGTGTGTGTGTGTGTTTTTTTTTTATCATCATAAGGAATGTGGTTGATGACAAGAAAATTGTCGGGAGTTTAAAGGGAGTGGAATTTTAATAGTGCAGTGTGTGTGTGTGGCAAGAAAAAAAAAAAGGAAAAAAAAAGGATATAAGCTGGAGCAAGAAGGATTGGGAAGGAGATTGTCCGGGAGTGCTACCCCTGAGACGAGCAGAATGTCCGGGACTTTTGTGGATCGAATAGATCCATTTGCGAAGAGGTCGCTGAAGAAGAAGTCGAAAAGGTCACAGGGATCGTCCCGGTACAGAAATTCTCAAGATGTCGAGCTTCAGCAGCTTCCACAGTTAAAAGGTTGGTGTTTCTAATTTTTTTCTTTTTCTCTGTCTTTTTTACACGCATGCATTTTTTGAGAGATGGAACTTAACCTCTTACGATGTATTTTTCTCTCTAATACATATTCATGGTTTTACAATTCATTTTCTCTATTTAATTAAAATTTTAGTTTCGTTCAATTCAATTACTATTATTATATTATTATTATTATACTATTATAGTATTATACTATTCTTATTATTATTATTATTATTCTGGAGATTGGACGTTAGATTTATTATTATTATTTCTCCTCAGTTTATTAGTGCTAATCCATACTTTGCGGTAATCCACATTTTAAATTCATGAATTTACGTTTCATTTTTCTTTTTTTTTATTTCACTTAATTCAGATTTTAATTGCTTTAATTTACATTCTGCCTGTCTTGGCAGACTTTTTTTTGTATCTTTCAAATCAATTTTTATGTGCTAATCCATTTTTATTCTTTGACACAATTCACATTAGTTTCATTTTTTTTTTTTTTCTTAATCTACTATTTATGTATTTAACCTTCTTTTATTTTGTATTATTATTTTGTATTATTATTATGTATTATTATTTTGTATTTTTATTTTCACTATAATTCGTATAATTTAAAAAAAAAGTAATTCTCTTTTATTTATATTCTTTTTCATAATAAAATAATTTTTTTTTTTTAATTTAAAAATTAAATAATATAAAATAATATTGATACATGGTAAAATTTTGATGTGAAATTAATTTTTAAAATTCTATAAATAGATTTGTTTTTAAATTTTTATCAATTTGTGTGTGTGTCAGAAAATATAAAAAAAAAATTTAATTACATTGTTGATGTATGTGTGTTTATAGTTAATTAGTAAAATACTTGGCATATAATTATGTTTTAACAATGTTCAATTAAAATCAATTATTATTATGAAGAATATTTTATTAAGAAATACCGTTACTGTAGGTATTTGACATTTTTTTTTTTTTTTTTTTGTCTCAATTCGTTTGTTTATTACTGATTCTGTTGCTCTGTAAATGTCAATTAAATACGAATGTATGTTGCAATGAATGATCATTACAGAAATCAAATAACAAATCTGTTATATATTGATTTAACCTGTTTTTCTCATATTAAGAATCATTTGAATCGAAATTTTTTTTTTTTTTTAAACAAATATGTAATTTTTTTTTTTAATTCTCAAGTTACTTTTTTCAAATTGTTCAAAAAAAAATGTATTTTTTCTTCTTGGTTTTTTTATATATGAAAAAAATTAATTTCTTTTTCATTCTTTAAAGTTATTAAAATAATTTATTTATTATAATTTTATTTTATTTTAATAACTATTTTTTTAGAATAATAATAATTATAATATAATATTAATGATAATAATAATAAGAATAATAAGAATAATTACTATTATTATTATAATAATAAGAATAATAATAATATTTAATTATTTTCGCCGGTATAACATTTTTTTCTTTGTATAAAATATGTTTCGCTTCATATTTTTTTTTTTTTTTTTTTTTTAATAAACACAAAATAGAGTTGTTTGCTTTATAAGAGTATCGAATACACGAGATCAGATATTCAGAGTTTTGTGGGAAAAGTTAACAGTTGCACAACTGTTATCTCCTGAAAGCACTTATTGTTTAATTTGCAAATAAGCAAAAAAAAAAAATTTTTTATTTTGTTAACAATTTGATAAAAAATAAAGAAAAAAAAAGATAATGTCGAACTGTTTAGAGAGAATATTTTTTTTTACCTCTAACTTTCTCTCTTTTACTGAAACAATAATAATAATAATAATAATAATTTTTTACATCCTACGAAAAACAAAAAAAAAAAATAATAATAATAGTAATAATAAATTTAATTTAATGATGAATTTATCACTTGGTGTAATGAATAGTAATGGAATAATAATTAATAATAATAATAATAATAATAATTTGCAAAAAAATTTTCGCATTTTTTTTAAATAAATTAATTATTAACAAATAAATTGAATTGAATTTTATTTATTTGATAAAATATAATTTCAATTTTCGTAAATATGAATATAGAAATTATTTTTAGAATATTTATAAATGGTTATTATTTATAAATAAAATATATACAAAATTTTGAAAATAATTATTGTCAAATGTGTCAAAAATTTTTGGCGCATTTCAATGTTTCCAAAAATATTTATATATAAATTTGACGGGTATTTATGAAATTTAAACTTCGTAGAAACTTTTGCGAGAATAATTTTCTCTCTCTCTCTCTCTCGTCGAAGTCATGAAGGATGATTGCAGTTATCAATTAATCAGCTTTCTGTCTCTCGTGTTTTACTCGTATAGGACATAAGTCTTCCTTTTAATTAGTCTGGTAACAAGAGCTTTATCAATATCTGTCATGGCATTAATTTTGAGATATATATATTTTTTTCTCTCTCTTTTTT